AACAAACCACTCTCATTTCTTTTGTATTCCATTGATGAGCTTCTCCCTCCCTTCTAGAACTGACTCCCAAGAGAATGCTTCCCTGATGACTACAATTATTATCTTCAACACATACCCAAATAAACGGTGCCTCTTACTCTGTAACACTCTATCTCAAGTGGTTCCTGGGCCTTGTATAGAGTAAACATCATTGTAGTAAAAACAAAAAAAAGTTAAATTTTCTTTCTCTCTATATTTCTTTCTCTGACTGAGGCTTTAATAAAAGTGAAATATGTAAACTTTTCCTATTTGTTCCTTATCCTATCATTGTCAGATTCCAATCCATATTTCATCCCAATTTTTATATATATATATATATATATATATATATATATATATAAAAATCTATATTTCATCCCAATTTATATATATATATATTGTTCAAAATTTATTATATTTATGAGGGAAGAATGTTCAGAATAGGAGATAGTGATCTTCAAAGAAATCAACACTGCATATTAACTGTGTCCACACACACACACACTCACTCTCTCTATCTATCTATCTATCTATCTATCTATCTATATATATATATATATATATATATATATATATATATATATATGTGAATGACTATATATATATATATATATATATATATATATATATATATATGAATGAATGACTATATATATATATATATGAATGAATGACTATATATATATATATATGTGAATGACTATATATATATATATATATATATATATATATATATATATATATATATATATATATATGAATATATATATATATATATATATATATATATATATATATATATATATATATATATATATATATATATATATATATATGAATGACTATATATATATATATATATATATATATATATATGTGAATATATATATATATATATATATATATATATGTGAATGACTATATATATATATATATATATATATATATATGAATGACTATATATATATATATATATATATATATGAATGACTATATATATATATATATATATGTGTGAATGACTATATATATATATATATATATATAATGACTATATATATATATATATATATATATATATATATATATATATATATATATATATATATATATATATATGAATATATATATATATATATATATATATATATATATATGTGAATGATATATATATATATATATATATATATATATATGTGAATGACTATATATATATATATATATATATATATATATATATATATATATATATATATATATATATATATATATATATATATATATGAATATATATATATATATATATATATATATATATGAATATATATATATATATATATATATATATATATATATATATATATGTGTGAATGACTATATATATATATATATATATATATATATATATATATATAATATATATATATATATATATATGACTATATATATATATATATATATATATATATATATATATATATATATATGTGAATGACTATATATATATAGTCAGTCACATACAAACCTGTTTCACTCTATCACAGCTCATTAATGTGGCTAGATGTCTGATTGCTTCAAGCTGGGATTGAAACTCATCCAATTTGGCATCAGTCAGAGATTCTACCCCTAAGCTACCGGCACATGGCAGAGAAAGGGAAATTTTTAACATATTATATACAAACACCAGTAGCCAAGAGTGCTCAATTCATAATTAAAGAGCAATGCATTAATAGCAGCAGTAATTGCTGTTTTTAAAATATATAAAAATCAGTGGAAACTCTGTCACTCAGACTTGTTAGGCTTAGTCTGAGTGAGTCAACATTCAAGTATATTTATTTCAAAACAACAAAAATCTTTCATAGTGTATCGTTTTCATTCTTGACCTCAGATGGATCACAAATTATTTGTTTTAACTCTGTGCCTCAAAATATTGACCAAAATTCATTTCATTGATATTGTTCATAATAAAGAAGAAAGGAAGAAAAAACAAAGTAAGTAAAAAATGTATGAAATAAAATTAACATGGCTAGTCAGGCTGCATAGATCTGAGCCCTATCAATCAGAGACATACTTAATAGGTAATGTATTTCTTGCTTTAATTTTATAAATAATCTTTTAAAAAACTCTAATGACTTGTATGCCCTGTTTTTCAAAGAACATATTTTTATTTCAACTTACTCTTTTTAAATGTCCATTTTAAATAATTTATTTTATATAGTATAAGGTTTTTAACACAATTTATCAATTAAAAAAGTTCAGATTAAATTTAGCCTGACCAAAAACCAAAGAAAGCCTGAACTTGTTACCTGGAGTTAGAGGGGTGACTGGGGTAGTGTCAAGGAAATATAATATTAGTCAGCAGTACTGATCATAAACGTAAAATTCACAGAGATACATAAACACACTAAAACATACACATATACAAACACACACTCAAGATAGATACACACATTATTTTTTTTAAAGAAATCATGTCTGGCTAGAGATGTTTAAAATTATATATTTTACTTAGAGTAAAGGAATCATTTTAGCATCTGAATTATAACAATAGTATATTTTGTTATTGCAATGAGCCTGACAAACATTAATGACCTAGAGTCACCATTGGGATTGATCTATCTATCTATCTATCTATCTATTTATATATCAGGTCATCCCATAAGTTCTGTCCGAATTTTGAATAAAGAAAACAAGTAACCAAATGTTACGTTTAATTACAGATTCAATCAACAATGTATTTTCCTTGATTATCTATGACTTCCTTCCATCTATTAACAAGCTTACTAATTTCATTACTGTAAAATTCTTTTGGCTTTGATTCGAAGAACTCACAAATGTCAGTTTTAACCTCTTCCTGTGTTACAAAATCTGTTTCTTCCAAATGATTCTGTAAGCTACAAAACAAATGGTAGTCTGAAGGAGCAAAATCGGGAGAATAAGGTGGATGAGGAATTTTCTCCTAACCAATTTCTTTGATCTTTTTTGATGTGATTCTTGCTGTGTGGGGTCGCGCATTGTCCTGATGAAACATCACCCCATTTCGCAGGTCTTTTTTTCCTCAAAGCTTGGTCCTTCCCCTTTACCAAGCCACTGTCTATGATGCTTAACATTTCGATAAAAGATCCATTTTTCGTCGCCAGTCACAAGTCTATCCGAAAAAGGTGAAACAAGTTGGCAAGAATGGAGAGAAGAGCAGATGTCAACTCTGTATTTGAGGTTGTTTTCAGACAATTCATGAGGCACCCATTTTCCAAGTTTAGGAACTTTTCCAAGTTGTTGAAGATGACGATGAACAGTTGTATGGTTTGAACTGAGAACCACTGCCAATTCCTCAACTGATAAAGCAGGATTTTCTTCAAGGGCTGCTTCAAGAAGCTTTTCATCAAACTCAACTGGACGTCCGGTTCGATCTTTATCTTCAAGGGTGAAATCTCCACCTCTGAATTTGGCAAACCATCTTCTGCAAGTTCTTTCATTCACACATTCCTCTCCATAAACTGAGTGAATGTTTCTAGCTGCTTCAGCTGCTGAGTTTCCTTTCTTGAACTCATAAAGCATTATGTGCCTTAAATGATTCTTGGGTACTTCCATGTTAGCAGGGTTTTAATCAAACAAAATTTAATTTTATTGTTCTCTGAAATAAAATTTGATCAGTTTAAATGCATCTAAACATAAAAATAATGTTCAGCTCCATTAGACATTATAAAATACTGTTTAAATTTTGTTCATTTTAACAAAAAGTTAAAATTCGGACAGAACTTATGGAATGACCTGAGATATATATATATATATATATAAAACATGCAGACTAGCCACACATGATTTGACTATAGTGGTAATGACTTGTGCAAAACAAGCCACACTTTTTTTGGAGAACTGGTTCATATAGTGTACTACAAGATCTCCAAATGACCCTCCTCAGGTTTTGAATTCAAAGTTGTCCTTCTCTTAGACTGGTTGCTAAGCAAGGTTAAAGAGCCTAGTTTGTTCTATTATTTAACCTATACCTAGGGGAAAATATACAATCAATGTGAATCTTTTAATATGTGAATTGACCAATCAACATATTATTTATTCTTGCATACTCTTTATAGAGCCACAACCCTGCCAAGTGATTTTGCTGCAGTTTCAGCAGCAAGCAAAGTTTTTACATTGATGAAGAACTAGCCTAATGTCCAAGATAGACTGCCTTACAGGGCTAAAGGTCTCCAACTGTCTTCCTATTTGTCCAAAACTGTGAAAAAAGAGAAGTTGTATTCACACCATTCCCCGAGACATGAATATGAAGTGAACGTCTCGACTAAGGATTGAATACAGTTTACTAATTCCATTCTCTGTGCTATTACAAATGAAGAAGGACAAAGGATAACAACTGAAACACTGTGGGGAAAACAATGATAGTTAGGATACAAATCGGAAGCAATCACCCTGGAAATTACAAGAAGATATTCTGTGATATTCCTATTTACAAGATTAAACTATTGTATAGTGCCTCTTATTGTCCAATAATAACAAGTCAGTTTCGTATTCATTCAGTTTTGTGTACTTGAAATTCCTTTGAAGAATATGAAGGTGAGTTCAGATTCCCGGTAGCACAAAGGAAAAATGAGAAAGAAAATAAATATAAGAAGAAAAAGAAGAATCAAATAGAGGGAGAAGGTGTAGAGTAAAACAGGGTAAAAGAAGGAAAGAAAATGAGGAAAGAGAGTTGATCAAAATTCTCAATAGTGCCAAATGCTTACAATATAATCATGTGACCAAGATGATTCTTCTTTTCACATCACAAGTGCAATAATATACATTACTTCCCTTTCACCCCCTTTCATCAGACAGTTTGGAAAAACCCCAAATACTTAAAATGGAATAATCCAGTATTCTGACACTGAATGAGTAAATACATAATTGTGAGAGAAGACATACATTTTCACAGTTGAGTTGCAATATGTAAAGCGACATAATTTTATTTCTTAATACAATTTGGCTTAAATAGCCAATAGAAAAATACTAAGCTGATTATTTTGAAAAAGAGTATGGGATAAAGAAGAGGCAAGAAAAACAGTATAGGGTAGTGAAATGGGGGAAAGAGTATGAGGTAGAGAAAGGTGGAGAAAAAAAGAGTATGAGGTAGAGAAAGGTGGAGAAAAAAAAGAGTATGAGGTAGAGAAAGGTGGAGAAAAAAAAGAGTATGAGGAAGAGAAAGGTGGAGAAAAAAAGAGTATGAGGTAGAGAAAGGTGGAGAAAAAAAAGAGTATGAGGTAGAGAAAGGTGGAGAAAAAAAAGAGTAAGGAGGAAGAGAAAGGTGGAGAAAAAAAGAGTATGAGGTAGAGAAAGGTGGAGAAAAAAAAGAGTATGAGGTAGAGAAAGGTGGAGAAAAAAAGAGTATGAGGTAGAGAAAGGTGGAGAAAAACAGTATAAGGTAAAGAAAGAAAGTACACAGTAGAGGAAGGTGGAGAAAAAAAGATGAAAAGAGTATGAGATAGTGAAAGGGAGAAAATAGGAAAAGAGTAGAATAATTTAGAATAAATGAGAGAAACAAGTGAAAGCGAATGAAGTAGAGAAAGAGGATCTAAAAAGAACTAAGCAAAAAAGAAATGGTGGAAAAGAGAATAAGAAGAGTTGAAAAGAAGAGAAAATCAATATAGAGAAAGCGTAAAACAGTTGAGATTAGAAAAGAAGGAAAAAAAAAACAGTGAGAATATTGGAGAAAAAAGATAACAGAAAGAAATAGTCAAATGAAAAGAGTTAAAAAAAAAACATAGTTCGGAAATAAAGCAATGCTTCTTCCTTCGGAACCAACTTGCATCCTTTTGACATTAAAAGAACCAGTTGCTTAATAATTAAACTCTTTCTTCTTTGATTTGACTTTCTTTGATCTTTTTGTTCTCCTTAGCACTTTGTTCACCAAAATTTGACCAATTTTAAGATATTTTAGTCTAACAATATAAATTTTTTTAATTAATTAAAGCCAATTAATTTGGGGACATGAAAAAGAAGAAAACATTAAAGAGAAGAATCTTTGGATTATCTAGAATTGTAACATCAATTCACAATATTTCATCCACAAGCAAGAAACTATAATTCTTTTTTTTTTCATTCATATCCTCCATATAATCTTAAAACCCATTGTAAAGATTCTTATTTGTTAACCAAGGTCAAGAAAGGTCAACTGATGCAGATAGCTCACCATTTAGGAATTTCCAAATATAAAATTAATATTTGTCAGATGTGACCAATTTTGGTAATGGGGGTATTTCTAACTCACACTCAGGATTTTGAAAGGTCAACACTCTAATAATGGTATTATGATGAGGGATTCTTACTAGGAACAATCTATCTAGTTCTCAAAGAAGATATCCTGATCCTTTTCTCACTAATGAGAATCATCAATGATGAATATACAGAACTTTCCTGAGCATGGGATCAAGTATGCAGAAAGACGTCTTCTTCATTGGAAGTATATTCTTACATTGAAAAACAGACAATTTTAGATTTTAGCCAGGCTGGAACACTCATCTCTATCACCAGGGAAAAAATATATCACGACTGCAAATAAGCCCAACTTCTGTAAGACACACACACACACACACACACACACATATATACACACACAGAAAGAGAGAGCAATTTATTAAGTGTATCTTAGATGTAGCACAAAGCTGAAAATATGGAGCACCTAATGAGGATTGAACTCACTACTCAGTTGTAATTGATCTAATGAGACACGCTTGTTAACCATTACACCATGTTGAAGTGCCCAGAATATAGGGATTTTATAAGCATAGCTTAGTTGTGGCACAAGGCTGAAAGTATGGGGTACCCAGTGAGGATCAAATTCACTATTCAGTCACACACACACATACACACACACATATAATATATATATTCATTCTGTGTATTTAGGCAGCTAATGTTTTTAAGGAAAATACTATTGACAACAATAGAGATTATGAAAGTCGAAAGCTTGCACCATATTAATTTTAGTTTTTCTTCTGAAATGAACTTTGGACAATTCTAGATGGAATTTCCTACTTGTTTGAAAAGAGTTATTAGTAATTTTGAAAAGATGATCATTAAAATTAATCAACATAAAATTTGTCATTTTCATATATATATAAAGGGTGTTCCAATAATTTGGACCAATTTTAAATGTGAATTAAGTTTCAGCATTTAATGATTTTTTTCTTTTTCTTTCACATTTAACAACTTTAGTCTTTGGCAATTTCAACCATGGAAAAATTGCCAAATGGAAAGATAAACAATCAAACAACATGTTAAAGTTGCAACAGTGCAATTGGAAAAATTGTTCATAAAATTCAAACAGACTGGGTTGGTGGCAGATGTGAAAACACCATTGCATGCTTGTTTATGCTGTTCAGCTGAAAATATTGCTACAGTGCACAAGAATGTGGCTGAAAATCCAGACACCTCTATTCGTCATTGTGTGCAGGAATTGAACCTCTCCACAAAAACGTGTACATTGTTTCCAGTTGCATTCTCGGTTGGTTGATTATGTTGACCAAAAAATCACAAAGTGTGTAAAATGCAGTTCTGTTTGAACATCTATTTTTGTAATAGGTTTCAATAACTTTAACACGTTGTTGGATTGTTAATCTTTCCATGGTTGAAATTGCCAAAGACTAAAGTTGTTAAATCTGAAAGAAAAAGAAAAAAATCATTAGATGCTTAAACTTAATTCATATTTAAAATCAGTCCAAGTTATTAGAACACTCTTTTTATATATACATATACATATACATATATATATATATACACACACACACAGAAAACATATGCATCCTGGCAATTAAGCCTGATACAAAAAATAAAAGTTTTCTAGGTAGCAAGTTGCCATACAGTTTTTTATTCAATCTTAGATTGTTCTTTTTTTCCCCCTCTTTTTATTTCTTAAGACATTGAGACACTTTTTTTATTTTTTAAAACAAGGTGTAGTTATTTTATGCCATTGGTCTATTTGATAAACAGCATTTATACAGAAATCAATTTTACATGGTTTCTGATGGCCACTTTATTCAAGTCATCTACCAGTTCAACTCGCTGTCTGCAAACTGGCAATGACCTTGTGGCAGACTTTGCAGCCACTGGAAGGATGTCACCACCAGGACCTGCAGCAGATTAAGACCAGTAGCTGGAGAGACAAGGTGGTTCTCATGGGCTTAATGTCTTCATATGCATGAGATTTAGTAGCAGCAGCAGCGGCGGCATGGTGATTGGCAGTATTGTAATCATCAGACCATCTGATAATCACTTAAGGCATGAAACTACCAGTTACCATCTAGTGTTGATATGTGTTCACACCATTTACTTCTAAAAGAGCTGTATCTCCAATATTGACTACTCTCCCCCCCCTAAAAAATACAAATTTTGAACAGTTATAAATAAGGATGTGCTGAAAAGTTCTTGGCTTAATCCTTTTACCAAAATCTGACTAAATATCAGATTTCTTTGTTAGGCTGGGAACTTTTAGCTCCCCCCTCCATATATATACCTCATAGATATTGACATAAAAACTGACAAAACAAATTATATCTTATCTAACAAAACAGTTTTAAAAATATGCTGGTTTTTCTTTAGAGGAAAAAAAATTGAGGAATTACAAAAAAAAAGCTATATTATTTATCCTCACAATCACAACCTATGATAACAAGTCTCATATCCCATTAGAATCAAAGGGGTCCCACATGTACTGCAGCCATAGCAGCAGTGGTGTGTCTAAGGCAAGGTAGCCTGATGGAGACCGAACTTTTCTAGGCTGGTATGAATTCAGAATTTTCCTTCACCTAGGCTAGTTGCCAACCAAGGCTATAGAACCCAATCTGTCCTGTTATGTACCCATAGCTGGGGAGAGAAGAGATGAATTCATGCTTATAACAAGGTTATTTGCACATAAGAGAATGTAACATACTTGAACTCGACTCTCCAAGTTCTCATTCCAAACTGCAATCCATTACGCCACCCATGCATCCTCATGTGAATTTAAAATTGCTTACATTTGAAGAGTGGCAAAAACAATTTTAATGCAGTAATCTGAATGTTTCAAGAGACAAAAACATTATTGTGTTGCCAATAAGAATCTGAAGAGTTTTTGCATGGATTTAAAAAAAAAATGAAATATTCAAGGATTTTGTTCACATGATTTCCTTCAAATGGAATGAAAAAAAAACATGGATTACAACTGATTTGAACATAAACAGAACGAATAAAGAAAAAAATGTTTTTACTAACAGCTACTGAAGAGTTAATCTTTCTTTGTCTTATTTGAAGCTGGTGGCTTCCAGCCAATTTTCCTTTGAAGTTTAGAGAAAAGTACAAGGGGGTGCTGAAAAGGTCTCATCCCGACCAACTTACCAAAATCTGGACCTTATTTTATTACTGTAGCTGGAAAGATCATTCTTTTATATTGTAAAGTGCCAAGTTGCAGGATTTTTACACTAATTTTTAAATTTGTTTCTGATCATATCAACAGAAAGTATATAATGTTCAAGTTTTGGACATCTTGAAGTTTCTGTTTCTGCAGAAGAAAACTCTAAAAGAAATCCAAAAGTGCATGATGCAAAACATTGGGTGATTGTGTGTCCATCATACTCAACTGTGAAGAAGTCATGTACCAATTTCTGACAATTACATTTTCCAATTTAAGATCCAGCACAGTTTAGGAAGAGTGAATTGACTAGCTTTTATCGACAAGATGATTTTAGCATTATAATCTGCCATACAACACAAGAGATCTTTCTATAGGTTTAGATATCTACATTCAAATATTTGCAAAACATTTCACATGATTAGTTTTTAATTCCTAGAATGGTAATTTCTTGAACTTATCAAACTCCTACAAAAAAATATCCTGAAACTAAAATTTGTTTTAGTATATTGAATTTTAGCTAATAAAAAACAAATATTTATTGAAATAATTGTATCTCATTCATAATCTCTTATCTTTCAACAGACATTGTTTATAACAAGAAGAAGCATAATTAACTTTGTTTCATAGACTTGCATTATAAAATGTTTCCAGGCCATAGAAATTAATATTTTACAAATGGCTTTATTCTTAAGCCACTTATTCTTAAATATAATAATAATTATTATACATTGATTTACTCTGACTAGTTTCCTCATCTTTGTTCTTGTCATTGCATTTTGGCTGTCATATTCTCTGACCCTCTTCAAATGCTTGTCATAGCTGGTAATCTTCTGGGAATTTTAGACTAAACTCTTTATTTAATCAATGAGGGTAGAGTGTTATCATTTTACCTTCCATATTAAAGGATATCTCATACCTGTTGATTCTTTCTTGCTAATTTTTCTTTGTGCTATTGCTCATATCTTTCATTGTACCTGACTATTCTGGCTTCATTCAACAAATGTTGGTGACTCCTATTGCTGGTTCCAAACATGATCAGCCATGCCTGATTTCATTGTTCACCCAACTATAGCTTTCCAATATTCCTTATTTTTAAGAGGCAACTTGTTTTTTGAATAATAGAGAACAAAATTAGAAAATAATTGATTAAAAGAACCATAGCATATGCTAAGTCTTTAATAACTTCCTTGGTAG